GGCTATCTAACACTGAAATAATTTTTCAAATCGGACCAGTAGTTCCTGAGATTAGCGCGTTCAAACAAACAAACAAACAAACAAACTTCAGCTTTATAATATTAGTATAGATGTGTCTTTTCTTTTGATCTAATTGCCCGCCAAAATGGTATTGTATAATACCAATACCAAATAATAATAACTAGACACATCTTACACACGGCAGTCTGATCCCCAAACTAGGCATAACCTGTACTATGGTAACAAGACTGCTTATCATCATCGTCACATCAACAGCCTTTAATAGTCCACTGTTGAACATAGGCCTCTCCTTAGAAAGGAGGTTTTGGCCTACTATACCACGCTGGCCAGACGGGTTGGTATAGGGTTTATGTTTAGTTTCCTTCTCTTTGTAGTGCTGTTGTCCTGCGTAGTTTGCTCCCTTAGTCGGGTCTTACGACACCCACGGGATGAATGGGGGTGGTGACACTTCGTATCTGAATCCGTCACCACACGGACTGCCAATATTTCTATATATATCTACACTATCTTTTGACGCATTTATGATATTAGTATGGATATTGAAGATAAACTACACCCAGACATAGAACGCGCTGATAACACAATTATTTACAATGGGTGGAAACACTGGGAACCCACGACCGCCGGCCGGTCATAAGAATCTAGAAATGTAATCGCAGTCAGCAATCAGCGATCTCTAACACAGTCCTTGGTTAGAGCCTTAGTAACTTTTTTTTAGTAACTCGACTAACTTTTGGCGTCTTTTTGCCTCGATTTATCTGAGCTGGAATAAATTGCCTGCTACTCTTCCAGGATAAAGGTTTCTCTTAGATAGGAATGATAGTTCATCATCATTGTAACTGTCCACCAGGTGAGTTGGAAGACAACTCCCTATTCCAATCTATTCTAATATTATAAAGCTGAAGGTATTGTTTGTTTGTTTAGTTGAACCCCCTAATCTCAGGAAGTACTGGTTCGCTTTAAGCAATTCTTTTAGAGTTGGAGAGCCCATTTAACGTGGAAGGCCATAGACTATAAAGCATTACGCCAAGACCAATAATAATCAATGAAAAATAATGCAAAAACGGGAAAAAATATTCCTTTTAAGAGTTTGCAGACGAAATTGCGTGGGTTCGATTAGTTATTAATAAAGGAATACAGCAATTTACTTCCTTATTCTAAAGGGTTTTAAATGTTTCTGGAAAAAATCTTTTTCATGTTAGAGGGAGTAGACGAGCAGACGGGTCACCTGATGGAAAGTGACCATCGCCGCCCATGAACGTCTGCAACTCGGGACTCACAAACGCGTTGCCGGCCTTTTAGGAAGGAGTACGCTTTTTTCTTGTAGGTTTGAAGGTCGTATCGATCCGGAAATACCGCAGACGATAATCCGTATTTTCCCCTTATTTGCTATAAGCTACTTTTTCCAGAAAAATTGATTAATAAAATGGACATTAACAAACGAATTTGTGGGGAAAACTAGTATTTTTATATCTTGCTATTTTAAACTGCGGATGTAGTATCTGATTTCTAAAAGCGTCTATTAATATGTGCTCGCCAATAGTTTACAAAGTTATAATAACATTCATACCACGAGTTGGTAATTTTCTTATGACAATAACATGGGTCAATGACACTAGCCTGCTAAGCCTTGACAGATGCGATAATGTATCACTGAAATTCTGTATTTATTGTATACTATTTTTAAGATATTAAGTTGACAAATAATTAACAAAAGCCAGTAATATTAATCCGTGTGGTGACGGATAAAGAATACGGAGTGTCACCACCCCTATTCATCCCGTGGGTGTCGTAAGAGCCGACTAAGGGAGCAAACTACGCAGAACAACAACACTGCAAAGAGAAGGAAAACTTGACAAAAACCCTATACCAACCCGTCTGGCCAGCGTGGTATAGTAGGCCAAAACCTCCTTTCTAAGGAGTTAAAGGCTGTTGATGATGATGGTGAAGTATTCTCATAAGGCTCAACCCCTTGGAAACGGGCGGTTGTAGATCGGCACAGGCATAGGTTTTGTATGGGTTTGATTTTGTTAAATTTATTTGGTTACTATTTGACAAAACAGAGATTGTTGCTTTTGTGTGTGTTGATCTATGACTTTAGAGTCTACATGGAAGACGATTTCAAACAATTTTGAAAATTTTATGAAATAAAGAAAGTTTGAGTTTGAGTTTGAATTATTAATAACTTGACACATCTGACTCACGGCCGTCTGATCCTAAACTAGCCAGAGTCTGTTCTATGGTAACCAGACTACCAACATACCTATTTATAAATATATACATATATAGAAATACATACACTGTGATGTGACGGATTAAGAATACCCCATCAAGTCAATTTTCAAACATAATAAACAAGACGACCGAATGGCGTAGTGGTTTGTGTAACGGACTGCTATTCCAAAGGTCGCGGGTTCGATTCCCGCTCAAGTCAAACATTTGTGTGCATGCACATTTAATGTTTGATTTGGTCTGGGTGTTTCTATGTATAATAAGTATGTTTTTACAAAAAAAAAAGTATATATGTATTTATATCAGTTATCTAGTACCCATAGTACAAGCTCTGCTTAGTTTGGGACTAGATGGCGTTGTGTAAATGTGGTACAATATTATTATTATTAAGAACAAGAAACTTAAACATCCTTTCTAAGGAGTGGCACATGTCCAGCAGTGGACTATTTAAGGTTGTTGATGATGATGTTAATGAGATATCTATGATACCACAGTTTTAGCCCAGGCTCCGCCCGCGTGTAGGTCTGCATAAAAATAGCCTGTATTACTCGTTGATAATGTAGTTACCATTGTTGAAAGAATTTTGTAAAATCGGTATAGTGGTCCGTGTGGTGACGGATTAAGAATACAGAGTGTAACCACCCGTATTCATCCCGTGGGTGTCGTAAGAGCCGACTAAGGGAGAAACTGCAGAGAGAAGGAAAACTTGACACAAACCCTATACCAACCCGCCTGGCCAGCGTGGTATAGTAGGCCAAAACCTCCTTTCTAAGGAGAGGCTTATGTCCAGCAGTGGACTATTAAAGGCTGTTGATGTGGTATAGTGGTTTAGGCGTGAAAGAGTAACAAACAGATAAACAAACTCACTTTTACATTTATAAAACAAACATGGATAACACCCATCCTCCTTGAGTAAAGTTTTTACGTATAAATTATTGTAAGAAACGGCTAAGTACGTGTCTGGTCACGCGCAGTGTAGGGTTCCGTAGACTTAGAAGGGTGTATATATTTTCACAGTTAAATGAGGTTTTAAAATGGGCTCATATAGGGATCTTCAGCATCCCGTTTATGGATAACGTTGGCACATATATCAACCTACCAGCTAGATAAATTGTGTGTAAAAAACCATTGAACTCGCGACACTGTTACCGTTACCGACACCTCTATATATAAGTATCCACATATATTGGCCCCGTTTATAGAAGAGTTGAGTTTGGGTTGAAATACTTTGATGATATAACTATATATAATATAAACATATATTGTGTATATACGTACAACATAGATATATATTCAAGTCGGAACTTTTCGAATCGAAAAAAAAACAAAAACAAACCTTATTAGTATAATAATTGACGACTGGATGGCGTAGTGGTTTGTGTAACGGACTGCTATTACAACGGTCGCGGGTTCGATTCCCGCTCAAGTCAAACATTTGTGTGCATGAACATTTGATGTTTGATTTGGTCTGGGTGTTTCTATGTATAATATGTATGTATTTACAAAAAAAAGTATAAATGTATTTATATCAGTTGTCTAGTACCCATAGTACAAGCTCTGCTTAGTTTGGGACTAGATGGCGTTGTTTGTATGTGGTAGAATATATTATATTATATTAATAATTTAAAAAAAAAAACAAGTTTTCACAAAACAACTCCTGCACCAGTAATATATCCTGCGTCGCGACTCGGGGGTGACTTTACAAACATTCATGAAACGTACAAAAAAAATACCCAGCCTCAGAACAACAATTTGTGGATCACACAAAGTGTCGTCCCATGTGGGGATCGAATAAACAATAGGGAGCGGCGAGGTGGCCGCTTAAACCACTACACCTTCGGCCGTCAATTAGCTCTCAACTTATAACATAACCCGGACTTCAGCTCGTACTCCATTAGACATAGCGTGATATTAGACAAGGAACGAACACTTATTTTTAAATTGACAAACAAATATATTGTAATCTGTCAAATGTCGAGTCACGAACGTCCGTCGGCGGCGAAGACTCCATTACGTATGGCAATAGAAACTGCAACGCAATAGACATTTCTAGAACGACGAAATTTTCTAGACGAAATTAAAATCATTTCTAGACGAAAGTTTGTTTGAAAAGACTTAAGTAAAGAAAGTATGATAGAATCGAATTAAACTATATTGTACAAAAATTAAAGTCCATTTTTGATCAGGATTTATTAAGAGATATTTTCTTGTAACTCAATCGCTGAAACTAATTTCCTGTAAATCTTCTGATGTACAGAAACTGAAATAATAGGATTTTTTCATGCTCACATGGGTGTTTGCACGATACCTATGCCTAAAAACCAGTTTAAAAACGTTTTGTCTGTCTGTTTGTACCGGGTAATCTTCAATACGGCTTTACCGATTTCATAATATTTTACTACCAGGTAGCTGTCTACATACGGAGTAACTTAGGCTATTTATATTTTCAGAAAACCCCGATAAAATTTTGCACCGTCCGGGAATCGAACCCGAGGCCTCATGGACTGAAGTCGAGTACCGTAGTACAGCACTTACGCAGCGCTTTTCAAATTCCATTCCGATCCATTCCATCATCCATTCCAAAGTCGCAGGTAGTTCAATTATAAAAGGTCCGATGAAATTTAAATCAAACAAAAATTTTATTAAGTTATCAAATCATATTATTTGTTATAAGTAAAAAATCAGAGCAAATTTAATAAAATAAATAAATACGTATTATATTCTAAATTTACTGAATCACGTAAAAAATGTTTTGGATAAAGGAAAGGTTATCGTTCACGAACCGAAATTTTTTGATTGATGTCATTGAAAAAATCTTAGATGCTATCACGATAGCGGACAGCGATAGTCTCCGCGGCTGTTATCACTGAGTTACACAAGATTCCTCACTGTGCTGCTGTATTGTTCATCTCAGTTGTGATCTGTGCACGGAACTGAACGCTGACGAGGTAATACACATAACATATATGTATATCAGTGATTCCTTTTAAGATTAAAGATATTTGTGTGTGTTTTGAGAAGTGTTTTGCGAAACATAATTTGTTTGTTTTCAATTTTTTTACAAATTTGATTTACCTACTACCTACTTATCTTTATTTCAAGTGTTTTCTGGGAAGGTAGGCAGTCTTTTAATTTTTATCTTATAATGTTTTAATCAAATTTTATTTTCAAATTCATTTAGTGAGTTCAATATTTGTTATTTAAAAATACAATTTGTTTGTTAAAGATAAGAAAACTTAATATATTATAATATTAGTTTGTATTTACGTAAATTAAATTCAATACCAAATAATTTGTCTAAGTAATTCTGATTTAAGTGATATGTAAGACCATAATTTTATATTTTTATTCTATAATTGATGAAATAACACATAACATGAAAGATACATTATAGTTACCACAATAATATGCTATAAAAATAAAAAGAACTAACATAAAACTATACCCAAATTGTATATTTCGGAAAAAATACTTAAAAAAATTGCCGGTCGAGCAATCACATGATATTAGTTCTCACAAGTGGCACCGCGGCGTGGCGGCGCTAGTGTCGCGGTAAAAACATCCTTTAATAAACTGTTACATTGATATAACATATAATGACGTAATTACTTGTCATATTGACTATAATAACCTGGTTTATTCCGTAGTACGCAGTCTCTCTCCCTCTCCCTCTTTCTCTTAGGACAGTGTGATATACTTACACAGAAAATATAATAAACTAGCCATTTAGCCCGCGACATCGCTCGGCTGTATGTTTCTTATTTAACGTTTCCAAGTTTTAAAAAGACGAACTTCTACAGAACAATTCATCCCTTATTTTAGCGCCTTCACATCAAAAGCCTCTAATAATAATATTAATTATCCACTGTTATATAGGCCTCTCCTTAGAAAGGAGGTTTTGGCCTACTATACCACGCTGGCCAGACCGGTTTGTATAGTTATAGTATACCGGTTTGTTTTAAGTTTTTCTTCTATTTGCAGTTGCCTCCCTAAGTGACACCCACGGGATGACATAGGGGTAGTGACACTCCGTATTCTTCGTCACTACATGGATTGTAAAAATCCTTTATAAGTGGGTGCTTACAACATAAAATCCCCATCCCCGGTTTAGGAGATAAAATCAACTTTTATAAAACAGTCACAGACTTCACTGCTGTTATCATGATAAATTGTAATTAACTCTATTATTTATTCTTTAATTTGCCACTCCTGGGTGGTTTTCGCTTCAAATTTGAACGGAAGCATACCCTCATAAATAAAAAGCAAATATTATTCAGGTTCGGTTCATAAATTACGGAGCACTGAGCTAACAAACATAAGAAAAAATACAGCTAAATGGAGAACTTCCTCCTTTAAAAAAAACGCTCAAGTGTGTGTCGGGCTACGGGCAGTGTCGTGTCCCGTAGTCGCTTGTTACAAAATGTGGACTTAAAAGAGGTTCATACTTTCACGGCCTAACGACCAATGAGAACAAACACAAGCTTTACATTGTCTAAATTTATTATAACAATCTAAGTAATTCTAGTGAGAAGAATTGAAAAAGTACAGAAGAATTGTACATGAAAAGATTTGCAATTAAATGACAAGATCACATATGTAACTTGAATAAAATAGAATTATTTTGTATATCAGGAGTGCCTTAGCTGCAGCTAATTAGGTCTTATTGTATATACAATACCGTCCTTGAAAACTGTCTGACTAATGATAAAAACCGCATCAAAATGCGTTATGTGGTTAAGGAGTTAGCGGATATACAGACATTTGAAAAACGATTATATTTTGTCCAATGTAAAGATGAAGAATACGTAATGCTGAGGACGACATTTTAACAACAAAAGCACATAAATACTGAATAAAAAATAACATTTATTATTTTTCTAGCTACTGAAACTTCGAGAAGAACTGAACTTTTTGGTTTACAAGAATTTTGTTAAACTTAAAAAGATGTCGCAATACGCATCCCGGCTTGTCGGTGAGTGGGGAGTGAGGCCCTTCTTCTGTCGTTACATCCATGGCCTTCTGTGTTCTAGTGTAGATTCTGCTTCGTGTATTAACTTTCTTCTATACTTCTGTTTAAACTCTTGTGGCTTCGTAAATAATTCTTCTCTTCTTCTTTCTTATATTTTTCTCTTACTTATTAGATTAGACTGGCTTTTGACAGATGATCCGGAGGTAATCGGTCCGATTTCCAACAAGGATAAATTATTGTGCGATCATTTTGTTCTGTGTTTTGGTGTGTTTTATCTATTGGTATATTTATCAGCAGTCTGGTTAGTACTGGCTTTGTTCTAGTTAGATATCAAACGACCGTGTGGGATATTGTGTGGTAATTGGTGTAAATAATATCTGTGGTAAGAAATTTTGCTGTTAGTAATTAAAAAGAACGTGCATATATATTTAAAATTTGTCTTTGAAGCTTTTGTTATGATATAAGAATTAATAGGACTACGACATACATAGCCTGGTCGAAACGTCAGGCAATTTAAACGTATGTGGGTTATATTTATCATGTGATCACAAATATTCGCCGAAGAATAAAGAGCCATGCTGCGGCTCAAATGGGCCGGCTCGACTGGAGTGAAAACAGAACACCAATAAAAGTTCTGTTTAAATTCAGTTACGATCAACTCGATCTCACAACTATCATAAAAGGTATTTTCGTAGTAACATAGTAAAGTATTACTGAGACTAGCAGATTACCGATTCAATGTTCGGTAACAATACGATATAATCACATTACAGTTAACGTTGGATATTCAATATTTTACTACGAAAATACCTTTTGTGACAGTTGTGAGATCAAAAGTTGGTCGGAACTGTTTTGAGACCAAAATTTTATTACGAGAATTGACCTTCTGGCCTCACACAAAACCGGTGTTAAGCTATTCTTCTGATGCTTTCGCTCAGAACCTCTTCCCCCTAATTCTCAAAGGCGCACTTGTCTCATGAGTTGCAGATGTCCCTGAGCAGAGGTAATTACGAACCATCAGGTGAGCTGTTTGCTTGTTTGCCGCCTTATATTTAAGTGTCATGTAACGGGAAAATTTATAAGTATTTAGTATAAGAAACATGTGTTTATATGTATGTATACAGTAGAGTGCTTAAGATAAGATTAAATAAGATATGCTTGTGTAATCTTGAGATAATCAATTTTGTCTTTCTAACCTTTCGAACTTGGTGGTAAGTATACATGTATGTTTCTAATTGTAATGTAAATACACACACACTCAAGTAAGCCTGAATATATCAATTTTGTATAATTATACAAATATGTTCTGGTATGTGTGTTAATAATAATATCTAATGTTTAAATGTCCTTTTATATCAATCTGTCCTCGATTCAATCAATCCAAATCAGATCCGAAAATTATACTCTTATTGTATTACATTCTTATTGTATTCTTGTACTCTTATTGTATTCTTCCCCCCATCCCACTCCTAATTCTGGGGGTACACACGGAGACACACACACTTAAAGAGCAACATCACGCTTGAGACACTTCCCATCATCATCAACAGCCTTTAATAGTCCTGTCCTGTCCTTTAGTGTGAACAGCCTGTTGGACATAGGCATCTCCTTCGAAAGGAGGTTTTGGCCTGCTATATCACGCTGGCCAGACGGGTTGGTATAGGGTTTGTTTCAAGTTTTCGTTCTCTCTGCAGTTAGTCGGCTCTTACGACACCCACGGGATGAATTGGGGTGGTGACACTTTGTATTCTTAATCCGTCACCACACGGACACTTCCCGACCACTTAAAAATCTATCTGCTTTTTATTACAAGCATTTATGGACAGATACATAAATAAATGACATTTCTAATATAACCCTGACACTAGAGTCACTTAGCCCACTTTATCTTCCATCATTGGGGTAACAAAGCGAATAAAATACTTTGCCTAATCTTAATCTTTGCATCTGACCAGAAATGGCAGGCACGCTGGAGCCAGGAACGGTGATCCGCCCAACAATCGACGAGGAAGGAGTGAAGCTCCTGGTAGAACGTCTCTACGGGATCTCAGCGCTAGAGCTGGTGAAACTCAACGGCTACGATGACAAGAACTACAAGATCACTGAAGATCCTAATGTGAAGAATCCTCTCATTACCTCACATTCTGAAAATGGCTATGTTTTGAAGATTATGAATACTATCGATTCCCAGAATGTTGCTGTGGTTGAAGCTCAGAATGAAATTATGAACTTTTTGGGTAAGTTGTAGCCTGAATGGCCAATGGCCAGTAGATGTCGCTTCGTAGATGTCGTCGACCAATCAAAGGACGGACTTACTGGTGCGTGACCCTGGTCTCTTTGACCTATTGCTGACTCAGTTTCGTTTCTTCCTCTGATACTTGCGGTATTCCTACCTAGCTCCTGCGCCTTTTCCTAACTCCAAGTTACCTTTGTCCTATCTGAAATCGATTATATTCCCAACGTAGGTTGGTGTCAGACAGGCAGCCGACCATAAAAGACACCAGCCAAAACCCCTTGCAACGTAACACAATGCGCTGATCATAGATAAAATGGGGAACAGAGCAGGGAAATTATGTATTCTCTTTTAGGGTTCCATTCTCAAAAGGAACTGGTATAAGATCACGTTCTTGTCTCTCTGTCAATGTCCTTCTACTCAGAAACAGCTGTTTCTAAGTATTTAGTTAAAAAATACATCTGTGGTATTTTAAAGTTGTAAGAACCTTCTAAGAGAAGAAACGGGAACTCTACTTTGAAACCAGGACTATATTGGTCTCGTTGGCAATTCGAGGAGTAGAAAGAAACAGTTAAGGCATATTTATAATACAGATTGAATCTATTGCAGGAGCCCGAGGAATAACCTGTCCCAAGCCAATCCGCAACGTGTACGGTCATCTCCACTCCATTGAGACCATCAATGGGAAACAGCACGCGGTACGACTCCTGGAGTACATCCCTGGAGAGCTGCTGCAAGACGTGCCAACGTCTGAGGCCCTGATGTACCAGCTCGGAGAATTTGTTGCCAACCTGGACACTAAACTGCAGGTGAGGATGCATGAGTTAATTATCGGAATACTTTGGAAAAGATACCTAAATTACATATTCATAAAGTAACATTTCGGTACGACGATTATAAGTAAAAGATTGAATTCTAACATTTTTAACCAACTTTATAAATAAGAAGGTTATCAATTTTTATGTATGTTTGGTCATAACTCTGTGATATATAGACTGAAATAGAGCTGATGATGCGTTTCGGACAGACAACGGAACTCTTCAAAAAATCACAGCAAATCAACCGCGATTGCTGCTAGGTTTTTAGTGCTCTTTGTATGGTTTGAAGTCGGTTCAACTTTTTTTAAGAAAGATTTTCTTGTGTTTATATCAAATAAAGTCCCAGCCCCAGATTCTCTCTATTGTTGGTAGTTGGGGTTAAAACAGTGTGATGTTGCAGTCGAAAGTAGTTTTGGCTGATTATGCTGGTTAAAAATACCTACTATTGACCGGTTAAGAATTCTGACTGATGTTGATTTGACTGCACGGATGGGCGTAGTGGTTTAAGCGGTCACCTCACCACTTACTACTACGCTGAGTGTTGTGGGTCCGATCCCCGCATGGGACGACACTTTGTGTGATCCACAAATTGTTGTTCTGAGTCTGAGTGTTCTTTGTGTCCGTTTCATGAATGTTTGTTAAGTTCCCCGCGACACAATATATATTCCTAATGCGGGAGTTGTCTTAAAAAAATACATATATTTTATAATCTGTGACAGAAGTCAACTTTGACTGATATCATACTGGCACACATCAAAACAATGTTGTGGTATATTTAATAGTGTCATTGTATCTACCTGTGAATTGCAAAAGAGTGGCCATGAGTTTGTTTGCCAATCTTCTCATAAGGCTCAACCCTTTAAAAACGGGCGGTTGTAGATCGGCACAGGTATATCATAGATTTTGTATAATTTTTATTTTTGTTAAATTTATTTGCTTACTATTTAACAAAACAGAGATTGTTACTTTTGTGTGTGTTGATCTATGACTTGAGAGGCTACATAAAAGACGATTTCATATAATTAAAAAAAAATGAAATAAAGAGAGTTTGACAGTTTTGTCCGTGTGGTGACGTATTAAGAATACAGAGTGTCACCACCCCTATTCATCCCGTGGGTGTCGTAAGAGGCGACTAAGGGAGAAAACTACGCAGGACAACAACACTGCAGAGAGAAGGAAAACTTGAAACAAACCCTATACCAACCCGTCTGGCCATCGTGGTATAGTAGGCCAAAACCTCCTTTCTAAGGGGAGGCCTATGTCCAGCAGTGGACTATTAAAGGCTGTTGATGATTGATGAAGTTTGACAGTAAAATTTCGTAACTACTGACAGATAAACGTTGTTGCTGCAGACATACAATGTACATATATTTCACGGAGATTTTATTATAAAGCCTTGAACCATTTTCGAGTATTGTGTGGTTACGTAACTGAATATACCGTCGTAAATTGTGTGTATTGTGGCGTTACTATTAGCTTGACTGCTCGGTTCCTAAGATTCATAGCATGATGTTTAATTAATATGTACATGTCTTCTATCTATACAAATAAATAAAATTGGAGTGTCTGTTTGTAATATTAAAACAACCGATTTCTACTAAATGCATATGTATGTTTACACGGTACATATGCCAAAATAACATTTTTTACAATTTTTGTCTGTCTGTCTGTTTGTTGTATGTATCATCGCATGTATCCTAATTATGGTGTGCAATAAAGAGTCTATCTATCTATCTATCTAAGAAAGGATTTTTGGAAATTTTAGCCCTAAGGGGGTTAAACAAGGAAAGTATGTAAGTTCGTCAATTTCAAAGTTAGAAATACGAAATAAAAAATAATCACTAGCAACATCTAGTCCATACGAATATTGCAAATGCAAAAGTGTGTCTGTCTATCTGTCTGTCTGTTACCTCTTCACGCTTAAACCGATGAACCGATTTAGATGTAATTTACTATAGAGATAGTTTGAATCTCGGGAAAGGCTATAGAATAGTTATTATCCCAGTAATCATCCTTTAAAGAGGTGGAAAGGGGAGTAGAACTTTGTATAAGGAATCAATAACATCTGAGGGCCAAGTGCGAGTTTATTTCACTTCTACTGGATCGTGACGGGGAGCGCGTTCGGCGCTATGATTGGCCCGCACTAAAATCTCCACCAATCGCAACGCTAAACGCGCTCACCGTCGAGAGCGGGTCGATGTGAAATATACTTACACTCAGCCCTCAGAGCCGATTTAGCCGATGGAGATAGTTTAATTCTTGAGAAAGGATATTTGTTACTTTTTACCGCGATGACCGATAAAGGCGGAACCGCGGGCATAAGCTAATAGGTTGTAAATTTCCCAACAAATTGAGTAATTAAGTGGTGTTAGTATCGTATAGATAGGAACATCAAATAGGGTGATAAGACAAACCCTTTTCGTAACGCACTTTGATCAGTGAAAGTGCTGCTTCAAAACGTTCAATGTGTCACATAAAGCTGTTGACGAGATAGATTAGGAGAATTATACTAAGGGATATCGTACCGAATACTGAAATAGTGTATTCAGACCATGATTCTGAGTCGAAAATCATTTAAATTTTCTACAGGAAAATTCATCTTTTTTTTCTATATCCATTTTTCTGGTTAAAAATCAATACTAAAAAACTGCAATGTAATAATCAAACAGCCTAAGCGCCGGCCGCCATTTTGTGTTAGTGTGCATAGACTGTTTGCACGGAATACACATGTAGTTATTACTATTGTGCGATACATACGGGGGAAAAACCTTAACCTTTGATAGCTGATGAAAGTTTAATTTGATGATGATGGTCTGAATACACTATTTCAGTATTCGTTACGACGTCCCTTACTGTGTATTTTATGAAACTGGTAGATAGTTTAGCTTGAAACAAAAATGAATTTACAGATTTTGGACTGAAGGTCAATTCTCGTAATAAATGTTCGGTCATAATTCAGTGCCGATCAACTTTCGATCTCAGAACTGTCATAAAAGATATTTTCGTAGTAAAATATTGAATATCCAATGTTGACTGTAATGCGATTATATCGTATTGTGGGTGAATGAAAATTGAATCGGTAATCTGCTAGTCTTAGTAATAACTAGTGGTGCCCGTGACTTCGTCTGCGTGGAATTCGTAAAGCGTTGTCTTAGTGGATTCGATTCCCGGACCGGGTAAAATTTTATAGGGGTTTTCTGGAGGAAAAAATAGCCTAAGTTACTCCTTATATAGACAGCTACCTGGTAGTAACATATTATCAAAATCGGTCAAGCCGTTTTAAAGATTACCCGGAACAAACAGATGGACAGACAGATAGACAGACAGACAAAAAATATTTGAACTAGTTTTTAGACATAGATATCGTAGAAATAACCATATGAGCATGAAAAAAAATAGTTGTATATATTTTACTAAGAAAAACCTTTGATGACAGTTGCGAACTGTATTGAGACCGAACGATTAAAGAAAAAAGAATTATTGGAGATAACTCTTGATACAATTAAAAATCAATTTAGTCTTGACATAAAACGTTTAACAGACTCTTTTGTCAAAACGGGTACAGAAAAAAATATCAACATTTAAAACTACGATCAATCATTTGTTTTTTTTTTTTTTTTTGTCGGGTTTGAAAATCCATTCGGATCTCCTGCTTTTATTACTCAGGAGCCAGGAGTAGGTATGTGGTGATTCCACTAAAATCCACCCCGTATGTTTGCAGTCTGCAGCAGCAGTCTGGTTTCCATAGTGTATGTCCTTATTTTGAGATCAGACGGACATGTAAGATGTGTGTAATTATTATTATAATTTAAAAAAATCTCTTTGTCACGCTCTCTGTCACACGAAATATTAACTTTAGGAGACAATTATCTACACCTAATACCAACCCGTCTGGCCAGCGTGTTATAGTAGGCCAAAACCTCCTTTTAAGGAGAGGCCTATGTCCAGCAGTGGACTATTAAAGGCTGTTGATGATCTACACCTTTCTGTGTCCTGTGTGTATTTGATCTAAAAATAAAAATAAAGTTAACTTTTATTACGCCATAGACGATTAGTTGTTGCCATTTAGTTCTATCTGTTTTCGTCAGATGGCGTGGAACAACGTTTTGCATAATATTATAGAAATTGAAATGTTTATGATTTTTGCTCCCTCAGAACTTCAACCACTCGGGTCTTATATCCCGCGAGCATATGTGGATGCTGACGAAGATACCAGAACTGAGCAAGTTTACCTACGTTATCAAGGAACAAGAAAAACTGGATTTGGTTGAAGAGGTATATTTAAATTCACTCTATTCTTAACTTTGGGAAAGAATACTTAGATAATTAACTGGCCTTGTAGGCCTAGTGGTTAGTGACCCTTACTGCTAAGCCGTAGGAGGTCGTGGGTTCGTTTCCCAACTAGGACAAAGAAATTATGTGAGGAGCACGATCATTTGTTCTGTGTCACGGTGTCATTTATGTTTAAAATCTTTGTATTTAGAAACCCTCCTTTGTATTTAGAACAAAAAAAAGAATGGTAACCAGACCGTTGATATGTTTATCAACAGTCTGGTTACCATTCTTTGTTTTAAACGTGTTGAAACCCCCTCGGGCCATCACCTCAAGGGGTTTGCGGCGGGGTGGTGTGGGTTTAGGCGTTCGCGTGTTCCGAACATTGCCTAAAGAGAGAATGTACCAGAAGGTGGTGCCGGCGCCGTTGCGGGCAGGCGCTAGGAGGGGGCGTTATTTCAGGCGTAGAGTGGCACAGCGTGTGGTTTTAGTCAGTCCGATTCCGACATACCACCCCGCCACAAACCCCGGTGGAGCGACGGCCTGAGGGGGGTTTCCACACCTAAAAAAAACGGTTTGTTTCAAGTAGTCCTTCTCTTTGGAGTGCTGTTGTCCTGCGTAGTTTTGCTCCCTTAGTCAGCTCTTACGACACCCACGAGATGGATAGGGGTGGTGACACTCGGTATTCTTAATCCGTTACCACGTTGAAATAAATTAAAGTTAAACAATTTCCTCAACGTCCCTGTTAACTGCAACACGCTTGACCTCTTTTACGTGATTGGAATCAAAACTATGATATACAATATGAATGCTTAATCCTCTGGCTGCCTTTTTAGAGACGGGATCCATACAGGTACGAGTGTGAATGTATGGCAGTCATCAAAAAAAATATTTCCAGGTAATCGAAGAGTTCAAGTACGCGGTGCTCCCTCGCCTGGACGAGCTGGAGAAGGGCGTCATCCACGGTGACGTCAACGAGATGAATGTGATCGTGGGGCTGAAACCTGGAAGCAGGTCAGTTGCTCCCATCACTTATCTATACAAATAAATAAAACTGGAGTGTCTGTTTGTAATATTAAAATAACCCCTTTTTACTAAATGCATATGAATGTTTACACGGTACATATGCCAAAATAACATTTTTTTCAATTTTTGTCTGTCTGTCTGTCTGTCTGTTTGTTCCGGGTAATCTCTGGAACGGCTGGACCGATTTCGACGGGACTTTCACTGGCAGATAGCTGATGACATAAGGAGTAATTTAGGCTACTTTTTTTAGACTAGCTTCGCCCCGCGGCGTTGTCCGCGGTTATAACAACAAACGCGGGTAACACCGCGGGCCTCAGCTAGTTATAATATATGACTTTATGCGCTCACGTTATTCTTTCTTTTTTGGTGTTTCTAACTTAGAACCGAACATCCCTGATTTTAGCCCTTAAATTTCCAAAAAAATCCTTTCTTAGTCGGTGCTTGCTTTTTGTAATGAAAAAGCTTACAGCTGCCAAAATGTTAAGTTTGTAGCCCCAGGTTTTGGGCTCTGCGTTGATCAGTCAGTCAGTCAGGGCAAGTAATTTTATATGTATTATACTTACTAACTGGTGCAAGCGACTTCGTTCGCGTGAAATTTGAAAAGTTTTGGACAAAACTTTATAGGGCTTTTCTGAAAAAATAAATAGCGTAAGTTACTCCTTATATAGACAGCTACCTGGTAGTAAAATATAATTAAAATCCGTTCAGCCGTTTTAAAGATTACACAAACAAACGGATAGACTTACAAAAAATATTTAAGCTGGTTTTTAGGCATAGGTATCGTGCAACCTCAGACATGAGGTACGGCAGGGAGGACTCCAGAAGTCGCCGATGCGTTCCTGGAGCTCCTCCCGACTGCCGAGGTAGGCCGTCGCGGGGTTTAGTGGGTAGACCGGTTCTCCGGGAGTCCCACACACGCCCTACGTTTCCCCAACGGAGGGTATGGTGCGAAAAGCATTCCCCGCGTGAAAAAAAAGAAAAAAAAGGTATCGTGCAAATAACCGCGTGAGCATGAAAAAACCAATTATTTTGACATTACAAACAGACACTTCAATTTTATTTATTTGTATATATAGATATTTATTTCATAAAAATTCCTATAAATTTCAAGCATTGCTTGTTTTGTACAGACTACTATTTATTTTATGATACTTAAATAAACTGTGAAATCTTGTCTTATCTGTAATGTGAGCCGTTAAACATGTTACGTGAATTTGCCTACCTATCTGTTTGATATTGTGACCATGGTGTACCTACCTTATTTTTTCTTAGAAACAAGTTTTCTCCCCGCGCCTATGGAGAGAAGAGGCAAGGAGAACCGTCTCTGTGTAAGAATAAGTTTCCTTAAAAACGCGTCCAATAAGGGTGGCGCTGCGGTAGCCTAGGATAAATCTATACTAATATTATGTGATTTTCTAAAACACACAGCGTTGATGTGAAGAAGACTGTCGTGAATATGCCCTATAACTAATTGTTTAGATAGCCCATTTATCGAGGAAGGCTATAGGCTATATATCATCACGCTAAGACTAATAGGAGCGGAGCACCAAGGAAGAATGTTTCAAAAACGGAGAAAATTTATTACTATTAAGAGACGCAGACGAAGTTGCGCGGGTCAGCTAGTTTGAAAGAAAGTGCCAAATTGTAATTAAAATAAGATCCGTGTGGTGATGGATTAAGAATACGGAGTGGGTGTCGTAAGAGTCGACTAAAGGAGCAAACTTCGCAGGCCAACAGCACTGGAAAGAGAAGAAAAATTTGACACAAACCCTATACCAACCCGTCCGCCAGCGTGGTATAGTAGGCCAAAAACTAATTTCAGAGGAGAGGCCTATGTCCAGCAGTGGACTGTCATAGGCTATTGATGTGATGTGAGACTAATAAAATTTGAGGTTTGTTATACTGACATTTTACTAACTACTCTCATCATGAAATTTTTTAAATAAGCCTCCATACCTGGGCTAAAGAGGAGTGGGAAGGGAGTTAAAGGGTAATTACTCTTTTTTAAGAACCACAGATAAGCGAATGATTCGGAAAACTATTTTTACATGTGATTTCAATTATTAACTGATGGGTAACATCTCTAAAAATATTTTATTTAATGTTTCTATTATTTTTGTGCCATTTATACCTCAGTAATGGAATGGTAATAGTCTAAAACATGAAAATTCAACAACGGAAACTGAAACACAATCTGTACAACTTTTAAATGAGTAATATTCAATAGGATTTAATATTATTTACTATACAATTGCATTTATAGAGCGTTTATACGGAAATGTAATAAAAATATTTATATTAAATATTATATTTGTTCTATTGTCACTTGAATTCGATACAATTTATTTCGAGTTCTGAATAGCTTTGATAATATGAAAATCAGTAGTTAAACTTAGAAGTTATAGATGTCACTTTACAACTTTAAACATTTTCACATAGATGTCACTATAAACTAATCCAATTACTGTTCCTATTCGATCATAGATGTCGCTAACTCATTTTTGTTACAATAGGGGGCTGAATACAACGGTTTTGAGGGTATGCACAAAGATTCTTAACGGTGTGATGCTGAGGTAAGCCAAGTAATTGAGTGTTCGACAATGATTAATCACTTCTGTGGAAATTATAACTTGGTTTGCTTCAGCATGTGGTAATGGGAGAAAGAAATATTTTTATGTATTTATATTGTCGTCGTAAATAAACTTTCTTTTGCAGAAAAGCCTAATAAAAAAACCCTTCTTTTGAGGACCTTTCTTTGCAGCCATGACTCTCTAAAGTCTTTTTTCTTTTAACAAATCGTTTTTAGATTGTTAATAAAGTATCCTTTATGGTTTTTACTAAAATGGTGGGTACGGGTGGAGAAGGGGGGTTACTATTCTCCAGGTCGTATGGAGGTAGGTAGAAACTAGGCACATACGGTTTTCTATTTTCTTCTTCTTGTCCGCAGTAACAGCGACTACCGTATCACCGGCATCATCGACTTCGGTGATATCCAGTACTCCTACTACGTGTTCGAGGTGGCGATCACCATGACATACATGATGCTCATCACTGGAGACCCTCGCGCCGGGGGCTACGTACTCGCCGGGTACACTGTCAACAGGAGATTGCCTGACGAGGAGTACAGGCTATTAAAGGTAATAATAATAATATATCCATTTATTTATCCCCACAAATTACACAAATCTTAATATTTAAGTTTACTTCGTAATTGGCGTATTGTTCGACTATTACTATGTAAACTATATACTGTCAGCTGTGAAGAACCTAAGTATTAAATAAATAAATAAATAAATATATGGCTTAATTAGTAAAATGTGGGAGATCTAGAGTCCAAACTAAGCCTAGGCCTGTATTTTAGAGCTCCAGGCCCCCCAAAATGAATTCACAGTAATATTATTGATGCTATTTTTAAGCGTGGATATTTATGTATGCATATGCGTGTGCGCGCGTGCGTGTGTGTGTGTGTACGTGTGTGTCTGTGAGTGTATGTGTGTGTGTTACATATATATATATATATATATATATATATATATGTGTGTATCCAATTATTGTTGTTATGTGTATACAAGGTAGAGATGTGCCGGATATCCGTATCCGTATCCGTATCCGTGACTTTTTTGGCGGATCTTTCACGGATCTTTCAATACATAGATGAAATTCTATATAGGTGATTTTGTATTCACTGTAAAACTATTAGGTATGTGTTTGTATTACAAACACATACCTAATAAAGTTTTACAGTGAAAACACAAACTTTGTAACACTATAAACAGCAACTTTTTTTCTGGCCAACGTTAATATGAAAAAAAATTGGTCCTCCATTCAAATTACCAATCAAATGTTGTTAGTTTGTATGGAGAAACAATTTTTTTTCTTTCGTTTTCGGTGTTAGTCCAGAAGAAAAGTTGTTGTTTATAATGTTACTAATATGCACTTCAGAGGTTTTCAGTAAATTTAAAATAACCCTGAATAATGTTATTAGGTAGCTATGAAACACTATTGAATTCTGTTCAGATTACTTTTTATTTCTTAAAACAAATATTTGGCACAAAGGTATTGCAATCATTTATCGTACTACACTAAATCAACTAGGCAGGTCGTAGGTACGGAAAGAGCTATCTTTATAATGAGATCAATCAAACATCTTTGTATTAGCTTATTAAAATAATGAAATATTTAAATATCAACGGCAAAGCGTCAAGTGACGACAACTATCAAGGTCACGGGCTCCGATTGAGTAAGAAACTTAAGATCCGTATCCGTATCCGCGGATCTTGACACCAAATATCCGTATCCGGATCCGTATCCGCGGATATACTTTGTTAACGATCCGGCACATCACTAATACAAGGTACGCTAACTAGTCATTTAAATACTGAAAACTTTAGGTATGAGGATTGCTTGCTGAGTACGATGTCAGTAGAGGAGGCTGCCTGATAAGGAATACTGGACTAGATATGTGTGTATTATATAGTTATTTAGGCATGTGTATCTTTACATATTTAGTCTATATATCTAATTCAATAATTTGATAAGTTTGGTCGATTATCATAATCAGGATTTTTAGGATTTACATAAATATTTGTGTACCTATTTTACTACGTATATTTATTATTTTTTTGTATGATCTGCAAATATTTGTTTCCTTGTTTGAGTGTTTTCTATGTATAATATGTTTGTATTTACAAAAAAAAGTATATAAGTATTTTATCAGTCAATCTAGTTTTTATCATACAAGTTTTGCTTAAATTGTAACTAGATGGCGTTGTGTGTTAGATGTCCTAAATATTATTTTTTATCTATTGTACGGTTTCAGTCGATATTTTAGTTCTTGTATAATTTTCATTACCCTTTTTTAGTTTAGCTACCTCTTTCATTATTTGCGAGTCCACCAATGCATTCATTTGTTTATTTTAATAAATAAATACAGGAATAGAAGATGCTTAATTTATCAATACATGTATATAGCTGATTAGTTAGTTAAAGTATTTGTTCTGTTTTAATTAAGTAGGTAATTGTTTCAGGATTAAAAGTACCCTTTTATAAGTTACCTAAAAGCTTTCAAGTGCGATACGTTATCCATTAAATAACCTCTTAGATAAAAACTAGTCCTGGATTTTGTTCCCATAATCACACTATTCCAATAAAATTGTTATAATATGTGTATCAAAATATTTAATAGCTTGCCACCAACCATAAAGACGTTGCCCCTACTGAAATTGAAAAGGAAATTGAAAATATGGCTTTTGGAAAAAATGATATACTCAGTAACCGAATACCTAAATGAGCGATAATTACAAAAACACCTGATAATATTGTATTGTATGTTGTGTTCTATATTAGAAATAAATTATCGGATTGAAAAAATTGACATTGCAATTATATATTTGACATTATGTAAATTGTTTATTGACATGAGCTTAGTAGTTTGTTATTAAATCAATCTGTTGTTATAATATGCATGTAAGTTTAAAATTTTGCATGTCAGAACAGACTGACGAAATATGTGATTCTCTTCTAATAACTATAATATAAACAGCCCATGGTCAACCCATCAGTGTTGGCACCCCGATGGCTGTTGGGTCAGCCCATGGCCCAACAGCCATCGGTCCGTGTGGTGACGGATTAAGAATACAGAGTGTCACCACCCCTATTCATCCCTTGGGTGTCGTAAGAGGCGACTAAGGGAGCAAACCACGCAGGACAACAGCACTGCAGAGAGAAGGAAAATTTGACACAAACCCTATACCAACCCGTCTGGCCAGCGTGGTATAGTAGGCCAAAACCTCCTTTCTAAGGAGAGGCCTATATTCAGCAGTGGACTATTAAAGGCTGTTGATGAAACAGCCCATGTACCATATTTCTGCAATTAAAGTATCATTTCATTTTCATTTTCATTTCTTATATCTGCATTCCAGGTCCTCATCTCCTCCCGTCTGGTTCAAAGCCTGGTACTTGGAGCGTACACTCGTGAGCAGGATCCTTCGAACGCGTACGTCTCTTCCACTGAGAAGGCCAAAGGCTGGGAGCTTCTCAAAAAGATCCGTAAGACGAAGCCTACTGAAGAAGGTGACCCTTGCGATTGGAAAGCAATAGCCAATGAATATTTGACCAGGAGTTAATTTCTGTACCCGTTTTGGCTTTCTTTTATAATCTGTAATTGTAATTTTGACTTCTGACATAATGTCTTAACAAGTATAGTAATATCTCACGTAAAATATATATAATTGCAGGCGTATTGCACAAATTTTAAACAAATTTTCTTAGAGGGATCCCAAGAATTGATGAATATTACAAAAGTAAAGAATAGTTGTTGTTACTTCAGGATTCTAAAGTCATTTCTACTGGTGCAATAATTATTAAAATTGATTCAGTTCTTTCGAAATACCTTCATTATTTTTTTTAAGAAAACATCAAGAAAAAAGAGAGAAAAGAAAAGAAGAGAAATAAAGATACATTTTTTTTAAATGATCAGTTTTTACTTAATGTATTGGCAACTTTATTAACATTTTCAAATATTTGAATGTAGCTATTTTATCGAATAAAGTATTATTTACTTTATAGTATCTACTTTTACATTAGTTTTGACTTTACGTAAGTCAGTTAAAAATTATACGTCCTGCTTAAAGTTATAACCTATTATTTAAAGCATTTTTAAACAATACTAGGTAATTAGATTTTAGAAGAATTATTGAGAATTGTTTTTTCTAGAAATTTGTTAAAATATCAATTTATATACATATAACTAAATATTTATGAAAATATAAATAGGTTTTGTAGTTCGTAGCGTCTATTAAAACTATTGTTGTTATTATTATAAGAAAGTATTAATAAAGACTGTTTGTGAAAACGATATTAACTTGTATTTGAAGTAATTAGCAAAGAATAACATACTATATAATATATCTGTTGGTAAGCGGTAAGAGCTCACGCCCAGGCCCCTCTTTCCCACTGGGCACTCTGGGCACGTGCCTAGGGCCCCTCGATCGATAGGGGCCCGAATCCTGCCAGATCGCCAATCGAAAATCAATATTTATCACCAAAACACAAATAAACTAACTACAGTACTTTTTTTCTATTTAAACAAAATAGTGTTCAGCTAAGTTCGTAGGGGCCCCATTAAGCTAATTTGCCCAGGGTCTCCAATAGGCTAGTGACGGGCCTGCTCACGCCTGTAAGGGGAGGCATAGACTGCACAATACCCATATGATGCCAGCTATGACTTGGTCCTACTCCCATTCTTGGAGACAAGGCCTCAAAGGTATTTTTTTTAAGAAAGAGTGGACAAACGAGCAGACTGGTCTCCTGATGGAAAGTGACTACCGCTGCCTAATTGTTGTTCTGAGTCTAGGTTTTATTTGTGTCCGTTTCATCAATGTCTGTAAAATCCGCCGCGACACAGGATATCACTAGAAATCTAGTGCGTTGACTAGTTGACTAGTAAAAATAAATATTTAAAATGAATTTCATTTCATAGCATAGTTTCCGAACTTAGATATATAGTAATATTTACACTGAACATAAATTGAATGGGCTACCCTAGCCGTCGCAACAAAATCTGCTTGATGCGGTGGTGCACCAAACGTTCACGGTCGGACCAAATGTTTATATGATCTACAAATAGCTGTGTCGGAGTTTTGGTGTTTTCTATGTATGTATTTACAAAAAAAAGTAAAAAAGTATTCTATCAGTCAATCTAGCTTTCATAGTACAAGCTCTGCTTAGTTTGAAACTAGATGGCGTTGTGTGTAAGATGTTCGGAAAAAAAATGCCTAAACGCCGCTCCACAGAAGTCTTCAATAAATAAACGAACAATAATCCTAATGGATTACAACACTATTCGTAAAGTATCTAAAAACTTGTACCAGGATTATATAAATAACTGCTATACGAAAGAATGATCTCAACAATATTTATTACTGTTTTATACCAATATGACATAATGTGATTTTAAGCGACGATAAACAGTAATTGTCCATGCGTGTCCCTCTGACGGCGAGCGGCGGAACTATATCTCTGAGTACATCTACTTGGAATTTTAGATTATATTTGTTCTTAGGGCTACCAAAGATTATTTAATGTATCATGAATGATGGAGAAGACTTGATATTGATTGATGGTAAGTCTATACAGTTAACTTCTACTTTGTTAGCTAAAAGGTATTATTTTGTTCGAGGGCCATTGTAGTTTTTTTAAAGACACACCGCTTCCTGTTACGCCGAGTGTTGTGGGTTCAAACCCCACATGGGATGACACTTTGTGTGATCCACAAATTGTTGTTCTGAGTCTGGGTGTACTTTGTGTCCGTTTCATGTATGTTTGTAAAGTCCCCCGCGGATTTATTCCTAGTGCGGGAGTTGTCTTTTTAAAGAAAAAAACAAAAAACAAACTATACAAAAAATTGTGTTTCCAAGTAATACCGCAGACAAAAACAAACATCTTAAAATATTATAAAACATGCATTCCATGATAATTAATTAAGCATATGAGGCTCAAACATGCACTGAGCAGTTATAAAAGAATCCCGACTGTTTTTGTGTACCGATAAATTATGCAAGCCGCACAGTCACTAGGAAGCGAGCGGCTTACATCTGAATTGTATTAATTACAAACGCATGCTCGCAAAAAAGCTAATTAAATTGCATGTAATAATGCAGCTTGTTAAATGGCGCTTATAAGGCAGTATTTTGCTTTCTTTTTACTGTTTCTTACGAACTACTAGAGATATTGAGTCCCTAACTGTATTTATTATAAGATTTGTAAATTGAAGACTTCGGCGTTTCTCTTTACCCGAATTTACATTACGTTTACATTAATTCGATTGAAATTTCGGGTTGTACACCACCTACAATATATGTACGAATAGTACATTTTTACACTGATTTGAGAAGTAAGTACCACAATTTTCTGTCACAGTACCTGTACACAAAAAGATTTACATACATATCAGATAATTAATTTAAAAAAAAACTAAAAATTTAATTGTATAATTGACTGTCTCAGTGGTGCAGTGGTAGCGTTTGCAACTACTAATGCTGTGTCTCGGATTCTAGTCCCGGGTCGGATCAAATATTCTGCAAATATTTGTTTCGGAGTTTGGGTGTTTTCTATGTATGTATTTACAAAAAAAGTATTCTATCAGTCAATCTAGCTTTCATAGTACAAGCTCTGCTTAGTTTGAAACTAGATGGCGTTGTCTGTTAGACTCTCACAATTAAGATGAATTTAAAGACACCTGAAAAGTTAAAATGAAAAGCATAACCTCTGGCGCAGTAGGATAATAAATACACAAATAAGCTCACGGTTTTTCCGTTTGAAGTCGACAGAGACAGCCTGCCACTTTCGTCTACCCTTAAACCTCACAAGCTTAATCTTCTTCTCGTGGTTCCTCTCGTCGACACTTTTTTTTACGTGTGGAAACCCCCTCGGGCCGTCACCTCACCGGGGTTTGCGGCAGGGTGGTGCCTCGGAATCGAACCGACTAAAACCACACGGTGTGCCACTCTGCGCCTGTAATAGGAGGTATTCGGGAACTGCTGTTATTAAGACATCCGGACCCCTCCTAGCGCCTGCCCGCAACGGCGCGGGCATCACCTTCGGGTACATTCTCTATTTAGGAGACGTCCGGCACACGTGGACATCGCCTCCTCGCGGCTGGCGGGTTACTGGTTAATCTACCGTTAAACCTTTCATACAAAACCTTCAGTTCCGAGTACTTTTGACCTGCCCTTTCTTCAAAACATTGCCAATTTGATTAGTGTTTGGGGTTGTAAGAAAGCTTGGGGTGCTTGTGTAGTATTTGTATGATATTGTGACTTATATAAAAAAAACTAATGGTTTACTACGAAACATAACATGTTTATATTTATTTAAAACTTAATGCACATGTTGTACAAAGGCGGACTTAATGTCATTAGGCATTCTCTCCCAGTCGACCTTTAGGTGATGTAGAAATATGAAGCGGTAGGTGCAAAATAAAATATTAAATTTAACATAATTGAAGTCCAGAGACATACACAATATATAAACACACATACATACATAAACCTACATAAATTTAATAACATATACATATAAATACTCAGTCGGGTACCAGCGTTGTGACTGTTCAGTATTTTTATTAATTTATTCAAATATCCTCAAAATTGATTGAGTTAGGTGGACTTCTTTACTAATTTATTCATGACTTCATGCACAAATATATACATCGGCGGTCTTAATGCCTAAGGCATTCTCTGCCAGTCGTTCGATTAGGCAGTGCAGAGAAGGAATGAGGTAGGTGCACTTATAGGGAGGTAATAAATGATTTATTCATCCCGCGGGTGTCGTAAAATCCAACTAAGGGGGTAAACTACGTAGGACAACAGCACTGCAAAGAGAAGGAAAACTTGAAACAAACCATATACCAACTAAGCCAGCGTCGTATCTCCAAAATCTCCTTTCTAAGGAGAGGCCTATGTCCAGCAGTGGACTAGTACAGGCAGGTATTGATGAAATGATTTATTTTGTCCTTCGAAAAGACAACACACAGTAATAAATACTCAAATAGACGCATAATATATTTATACATTACTTATAATTCCCTTTTCTTATTTCTGTTAATACGAGTAATTAATATTAATATTTCTACAATAAAAACCAAATATTCAGTAGTCCTGTTAATATTTTTCCTGCTGTTTATTGAACTTGGAGATCCTTGTCTTCACTGATCAGTAGTCAAATGTCAAGGCCGTTTTGCCACCTATAATGTGAATATCATAATGTTTTCCGGATTTGCTTTTAAAGGTTAAGAAACTAAGTAATGTTGAGATATGTTGCTTTATATCGGTAATCGTGAGAACCTTATATACCTCTGCGGTACCCGGTTTTCGTGGTAAAATGTAGCCTTACTTAAGAATGAAACGATCTCCTTACCAAATTTTATCTAAACCGGTTTAGCGGTTATTGATTTCCAATTCAAACTTTTCACCCCATTTACTCGTAAGGATGTTTCTGGGATAAAAACTATCTTATGTCCTTTCCCGGCACTCGAGCTATGTCTATACCAAATTTTATATAAATCGGTTCAGCGGTTTGAGCGTGAAGAGGTAACAAACAGACAGACAGATAGGCAGACAAACAC